TAGGAACCGTGTGCTGGCCGACTACCGCCTGAACGAGCTCCGTGACGTCTACCTTGAGGTCTTTTGCACAACAAAGACTACCGTCGATAATCCTATCCTCGCTCCCTTGGGTCATGGTGGCCGAAAGACCTTCTTGGTGATCGACGAAGGCTACTTAGACAGTCATTAGGGCTATTGGGTCGAGGATGAAGAGGATGGCACAGAAGGCTTCCTCGAGGCAGATGATGACTCCGTCTGGGTCTACGACCAGGAGAACTACACATGTTCCAGAGGCGTTTCCAAGGAAGGAAGATGCAGCGAGGATTCGAGGGCCGCCGCAAAGGAAAAGGAAAAGGTGGCAAAGGATCCGGAGGAAGGTGCTTCTTCAAGAAACGCAAAGGCAGGTCAAACCTTGCCGACGATCAACAGACAGATGCCTGGCAAGCAGACGGACAATGGTACGACTGTCAATGGCAAGATTCATCATGGGATGATTGGTCCTGGTACGAGTCGGAGGAGTCCTACACAGCCAAAGGCAAAGGAAAGAAGGGGCAGAAGGGCAAAGGCAAGGGCCGGAACAGAGGGAAAGGACGGAAAGTCCGGCTCCAAGGACGGAGCAGCTCAACTTGCCGATGCTGCCCACTCTGGCTCTCAACGTGCTGCTGAACCGCACATCTTCCACCTGATGAAAAGCATAATGGCAAAACTGGCGGGAAGAGTGTGTGCAGGCCGAAACTGCATAGTTGTACAGATTCCACATTTGTAGCTCAATGTCACTCCGCTCATAATTCGTTCTTGGGCAATAACAGGCAATGTAGAATGCCGACTCCACGGCCATGCAGTTCCATGTGCTTTTAAATCCGTGCCTGGTTGAAACACTGAATGTGACACATCCAGGCGCCTGTTTGTTTCACATACACTTGCGCGTATCCATGCCTGTTGCTCCCGGTTCTAGCAGACTACTGATTTACCACTGATCGTCTGTAGAGGAAAGAGACACCTGCGTTTGCCTGTGTTCCTGTACGCCTTGCGAGGGGATACAGTGCAGGTTGCATCTCAGAGGGAGGGAGGAAGAGAGGGAGGGAGCGAGGGAGGGAGGGAGGGAGGGAGGGAGGGGGAGTCTTGCGGGCGCCTCGCATTTTCGTTAGGCTTGTCGGGTCTTGTTTAGGTTCGAGTGGGCTGAGCGGTACGGTGGGATCCTGTAGAAACATCCTAAGCTCCACCCGCCCCTAGAACAAGGCTTTCTGTGTGAACCTTGCAGTTTCGAAAGTAGAAGCTGGGAAGTTGAAAACTAGAAGATAGTTTGGGATGATCTTAACATTTTCGGGTTTCGGGTGTTGAGGGAAAGTCGGAGCTTAAAGCCCACAATCACCCGCCAAAACAGTGTTTCGGAGCTCCGAATTCTAAAACCCAGACCTTAACACCGTAAACACATAACACCTAAACCCAAAACTTACAACCCCGAACCCCGAACCCTGAAGTGGTTGCAAGTTATGCCATCATTCTGCAGACCGCATCATCCCCAAGCTCCGGCAGATAGACCTCCATACACCCAACATCCTGTACGGACCCCGAAGCTTGCATGTGAAAATCAGCAAATGAACACGTGAATAAATGAATAAACCAACAAATAGAGTCTAATCAGTATGTGTATGTGTGTGTATATACATATACATGTATACGACGACAACATAGACCCCGAAACTTCTTTCACGCCAAATTCTTTGGTGCAGGAGTCTTCGTGGACTCTGCCATCCAACCGACAGACTCCCAGCGGGCATTCAGATCGAGCACGGGCTCGAGTTGAAGGACTCAAAGTTGAAAGTCATTCGGTTTGGCGCAGCTTGCAGGTCTAGGGACTGACATAGTAATAGAGTCGTAAAGGCTGTAGTTGGGACTTCAAGTTTGGGAGACGGGTTTTCAAAGTTGGCGACGGACAGTTCGGAGTGTAAGGTTTAGGGTTTGCTCAACCCCCTAGTTTCTTGGTCCTATGGCTGCCGGTACTGGTGCCACGATTGCTACTTTTCTTGCCAAGATTTGCATTGCGTTAGTTTGTTCCATAGTTCTGATTCCCGGACCTTTTCAGGACTTCTTCCTGAAGTCGCTCAAGGACTTCCTCGAGGCTCTGGACACGGACGGTAACGGTGCGATCCATTTGGATGAGATCAAGAACATGTCGCGTGGTATCAGTAGTAGTAGTAGTAGTAGTAGTAGTAGTAGTAGTAGTAGTAGTAGTAGTAGTGGTAGTAGTAGTAGTAGTAGTAGCAGTAGTAGCAGAAATAATAGTAGAAGTAGAAGTAGGAGTAGTAGTAGTAGTAGTAGTAGTAGTAGTAGTAGTAGTAGTAGTAACAGTAACAGTAACAGTAACAGTAACAGTAACAGTAGCAACAGTAGCAACAGTAGCAACAGTAGCAACAGTAGC